TGCTATTTTCACTTAGTGTAAATAGCATCTATCGCTAAGAAAATATGCTATTTTCACTTAGTGTAAATAGAATCTATTGCTATTTGCACTAAGTGTATATAGCCTCTATCGACCCTCCCCACATAATCCCCCACGCGTACAGCACCCCAAACCTAAAACATCTTCCCGCGACCCTGCAATTTGTTAAATGTTATGAAATGCTAATATGATAAGTATGATAGTCTGACAGAATGTGTAACTTTGTCAGTTTGAGTGTGGGAATTTGATTAGACTAGAAGCCGCTCTGGACATTTGTTCATTTTCAAAATGTGATTTGTTTCGGATTTGCACGAATGAGTGAAACTTCTCAGCTTTGGAAATCTGATTACAGAAAGGCAACACTGTGGTGGTGACTGGGAAGGGATTGTCTTAATCTTCCAATTTATCTTGCTTCGACTCTGCCAATTTCTAAAAAACCTGTAGGTGTTCACGAAACAAGCTTATTAGTGTAGACATGTTTGCATATTCTGTATTCTAAACATTAAAATCAAATGATTTTGTTCAGTTATTGCATTGATGGTCTGTAGATTGCAATTTACAAATCCTACAAGCATTTTACGCTGCAGGCAATGTGCTGTATGACTCTGCAGACGTTATCAAGGCATCTTCAAAGGATGTCAAAAAGTATCTCACACCCCTTTATAGGCCTCTTGTTCTTCCTAAACAGAAATGACCTCATATTGGCAGCTCTCTTCTGAATCCAGACCTCTGAGCCCCCACCTCCCTTCCAGCACAGACAGTAAGCATTTAACCATCTGCCACTATTTTCTCTGCTTCAGGAGAAAACAGAAACAGTTACAATAGCTGAAGAGTGTTGTGGAGGAGTTGAAGTGAGTCAAACTCATGACATTGTAGTTTAATGAGACAGACGTGGCTCCCATAATAGCTAGTAGCCTATTGATCATGTGATATCGCAATGATAAATGTATACATCTACTGCCTTGATTTTAAATGCATTCACATTTTAGTAGTATCTGCCTAATAGTGATGTATGAAGAGTTTAATGTAACATTTAATTTCACAATTTTTGTCTTAAACTTATTTTACAAAGACGAATGCCTCAAAGCTTGTTGATGAAAGGTGATATTATACTGAATGAATGACCTACGATTTTCATTTGGTCGTAAAACCGCCTTATTGATTTTCTTCTTCTTCTTCTTCTTTTTTTTGCTACTAGCTTTCCACTTTCCACAATAAATCTTTGCTAAGAAATCCTTTAAGGACCTAGATACTAATTTGAACCATGTAAGTTAACCATAGCAACATTAATGGACTTTATGGATTTGTGTCCAGGAGTCCGACTTAATCTAATGACAGCCAGGCAGAGACACATCCAATTAGAGGGGCAGAGAATGGGCCACCACAGGCTACTGCTGGGACTGCAAATGAATAGACCAAAATCAAATCAGGGCTCTAATAGATGCGCTGCAGAGAAAGAGGGAGATACAGTCAATGCTAAGCATATTAAAGCCTTGTGACCTCCCTACTCCCACTGCTGCAGCCCGCAAAATTTACAGTGGGCCAAATCAAAAGGCCTCATTGTTATAAGAGGGGAAGACAGCACTGTCTCTCTATGAAAGAAAAAGAGTGCTATCTAAGTCCTAGGAACCTTCATTATGTGTCTCACTGTCTGTTCTGCTCTAAAAGCATAAATCAAATGACTACAACACATAATATTTTTTTTCTTTAGCACCTGCATTTGTAGATGCGGATAATTGGAGCCAAATAAAATTTTACATCTCTCAGAAGTCTGAGATCCGCTAGTGAGCGACGCCTCGTGGTACCATTACAGAGAGGCTCAAAATCACTTTCCAGAACATTTTTGTTCTCCATTCCTGGCTGGTGGAATGATCTTCCCACCCCTATCCGGAAAAAACGTTGTCTTTCTCTTTATTTATTCCTTCCCTTTCTAGCTTGTACTTATTTGAACAATGCCTAAAACTTGGTATTACAAGCACTTCCTGTGTCTGTTTGCCTGTTTGCCTGAATTGTAAGTCGCTTTGGATAAAAGCGTCTGCAAAATGAATAAATGTTCAAACGCGGATTAATTCAGAAACTAAACACCTCTCTGTTGGTCACAAATGCACAACAATTCCGCGGTGGGTTTAGGTAATATTTTTGTTGGCAAAACTGAGCAAAAACAGACAATATTGTGTTTAAAATATAACACTGTATTAACTTCTTATTTACTGAACTGTTGTATAAAATCACCTTTGCACTAGTGCTATTCGGGACAAACAGCATTCGTATGATATTGCTCTCGCGGCTCGTGTGATATCGCTTATCATGTGATATAAATATGAGACAAAAACTCATAATAGAGCATTTTGCCCCAATATCTTGAATTTTCATAACTGCATTTATGGAGTTGTTGTCCTGCACAGTGTTGCCAAGTCTGCGGTTTTCCCGCGGAATTGGGCTACTTTAATACTGTTGCTGCGGGTTGTTTTTCAATTCCGCGGATTGAAGCGACCCCAATAACATGATATTTAGCCCCTGGAATGTGAATTTTATCAGGGAAACCCTACCAAAAACGTGTATTTTATGTGTATTTTAACCCCCCCGGAACGCGATAATTTAATTACATATACAGTATGTGTCTATATATCTATTTTTTTTTCTTTATTATAAACCAGAACAACAACACAAACCTGAAGTTTGTCTGGTCCCGTCTAGCTTGGGTTGGGTTGTAGACCTCTAATTCACCATTCAGCATGTTGAATGAAGGGAAAAAGACAGAGTGAAACATTGTGGAGGAGGAGAGGAAGTAGTCTGGTCTGCTGGATCACAGACCCACAGAGAGCCAACAGAGATAGTATAGGATTGAGGAAAGCAGGAGGATGGGGAGAGGGGGACGTTTTGCTCTGTGGAAAGATACCTCACATATGAAACGCTGCTGGGTTATCTAGAGGAACTTTGATGTGGGGCCCAGTGGCTATCTACACCTGTGCCTGGGGCCTGGACTCCCTCAGCCACACACTAAAGCCTCAGACAGCTGGTATTACACAGCGAAAAGCCTTGAACCAGCAGCCTCTGCACACACTCCACACTCTGACAAAATGAGAGAGGGGTGAGCAACAACACGACTGCGGTATGGAGGGGTTGGAGGTTGAGAAGACACTGCTATCTCCTGGTAAACACTCAAACAAGCAGACTGCGGGACAGCAGATAGGAGACAACTATAAAGCTGTCTGAGCATGTCGGCCGGTGATTTTGCAGAGGGGCAGCACTGTTTGCACAGTTGTGTTTCTGTTGTCAAAGCTAATCATAATTTGGAGAATCTTTTTGGGATCAAATAAGCATATTCAAAGAATCAAATAAGATCCCACAGGATTAGCTGAACGTCTACAAACATAAAATTAAAAATAGGAATTAATTTTGAAACCAATGATTAAAATTGATCAGAAGTTCTAATTCCAACATTTCATATCTAGCAACATCTTTCTCCAAAATGACATATATGTATATGTCATATGGTCATAACTGGAAAATGGATAGCCAATCACAAAAGCCACAAATTCACACTTATACCTGCATGTTCTTAATTGGCCTCTTTGATTCCATGAAGAACCTTTAACTTCCACTGGACATTTTTTTTTTCAAATAGTGGAATGTGTTCTTCAGATTATTTAAATATCCTTTTTATTAATAAAAAAAATGTTTCTTTTTTAATAACTTTTTACCAAAATGTTCTTTGGGGTACCCAAATGAGTTTTTCTTTGGCATTGCTTTGAAAAACCCTTTGAATCTTTATTTTTTTTTTAAAAAGTACAGTGTTACAATGTTTCATATTTAAACTGATATTTTTTCATAAATCATAATAAACTTAATATAAACATAGCAAAAATATAAAAAGCAATATAAATAAAACTATAATATAGACAAAATATTGATTTCTTGTTGATTGTGTAACGTAAATGCTGTTCCATATGCCTTTAACTGAGAAATTTAAACACTGAAAAAAAAGCTGGTACATGGAATTTGACAAAGTGAGAATTTTCCAGATTTCAGAAGACAACCAAATACCACATGCCATATATGTACTGTATGTATACTATACTATATACTATATGACATGAGAAGAAAAATTCCCCTCTCTGCACTGACAACAAGCCCAAGTCACTCATATTATATTGGACTTTAAACATGTACATAATTTATAATTGTGGCAGTGTGGGATGGGCTTCCCTTCTTCAGGTGGTGTCCCTTTATGAGAGTGAGTAATGAGGATAATTAATGTCAGAGTATTTAAATGTCTGGGCAGGAAGCATTAGAACGTAGCCTCTGTCGTACCCGCCCCTCTTCCGGTCTTCAGTGTCACAGTAGTTGAAGTAGGTGATGGTTGATTACGCGTGTATAGTGTTTTAGTCTATTATATTGATGCTCGTTCTTGTTTTTATATCGGCAAGATGTTGTTGCAGCCGTGCCTGTTAAGTCCTCGGTGAGCTTCGTCAAGCGCTCGTTGGAAGTTTTAGGTATGCAGGCTGTTGTATTGTTATGTGTTGATTTTCGTTTTGAATTATTAGTCTGAAGTGTTTCTTTTGTGTGTTTTTAGTGAAACAATATTTATGAAGACATCCTAACATCCTATGCTTGTGTAGCTGCGGATCGGATCTTCAGCAGTTCAGTTGAT